CATCTTTCTACAAACCTGAAAAGGCTTCAGATGTGCAGAACTATCTAAAATTGTATGTGTGTGCGCGCACATACAGGTTTACCACCACCACCACCCAATAGAAGCTGTTCCTGTAACTTTAAGAAATAAATGCCTCAGTGGTGATTCTTAGGCAACCTCAACAGTATTGTCAGGCTTCCAGCCTTGGGTGTCTGTCAGTAAAAGGCAGGAGGAGGTGGCAGGACCCCTTCCAGGGCTATTTTTGGCCTTGAGGGAGGACTCATGAGGCCTTTCAGCAGCAACCATGGAATGACTTGCAACTTGTCTGATTCACCCAGGCCTGGCTGCTTGCTACTGTTCAGCAGCAGCCACCCCACAAAATTTAGTGTCATGTAGTGGTTAGAGTTTCACACTGGGATCTGGGAGACCCAAATCCAAATCTCCATTCTGCCACAGAAGCAGACACAGGAGAAAATGAGATTCCCCACCGCGTAACTGGGCCAACAGAGTTTTCCCAGGAAAGGCTGCCGGGGGGGGGGGGGGGAGGAGAGAAACCTGAAGAAGGGGGCAGATTGGCTGGTAGGTGGGAAGTATCAAACAAAGCAGGAAAAGGGAAGACACGGTAGGTGATTTCGAGAAAGCGAAAGAAGAAATAGTAGGGTAGGGGAAAATAGCATCTCTCCCCCCTCCCCCCCCCGGCAAATCTTTGCAAGTCCTTGCACTGCTGGTTTTAGTTGAATTTCTTCCAAGGCAAAATCACAACTAAGTAATCTGAAGTCACTTCTCCAATCATGTCACATCTAGATTGCAAATTACAATCTGCCACCTGACCAACGGAAAAAAATATTTACTTTTTTAAAATTCTAAATTGCTTTAAATTGCATTGTAAATGTTTTGTGCACGCATGTTCTTGCACTGCTTTCTGTGGTTGTTCCTTTCCTGTCTGACATTCACCCAACACATTCAACAGAGAAAATATATACAATATATTTTTAAATTTTACAAAAGAGGGTCTTTCCTTGGTTTCCTTGATCCTACTGCAGAGGGGGCAGGGGAGCTGTATGGTTTATCTTTTTTAGTAATCCAGACTTGTTCACTTTGCCCACATGACTCCCAAAATCAAGTATTTATTTATTTATTTATTTATTCCTTCAGTTTATATCCCGCTCACCCCCTTAGGGCTCTGAGCGGCTTACATGTTTTAATTTACACAAATCCTAGTCTAGGGCCACATACATATAGGGAAAGTGACAAGCCTACCAGGCACCCCTTTTTGTAGTGGATCTTCGATGGGGTCTTTCTTGCGGGAGATAGTCCGGCGGCGTCCTCTCTGGCGCTGGTCTTTGAAGTTGTGCTTTCTGGCTGCTGCGATTCCCTCTTCCGGGCCTGGGCCACTCGCATTTCCACACATGCTCGCTGTGGCCTCTGTCCAGACTAGGCTCCGGCCTGCTGCGACACTCCGCCTCCGCGCTTGTTGGTCCAGCCTCCTTCGCTTGCTTTTTGCCTCGCCAGCCGCTGCCATACTTCTCCGCCGCCGTCACTCATCGCTCACCACTGCCGCCACTACACAAGGGACGTGTGCCCCCCCCCGCTCTATAGCAGGTACCCATTTGTCTAATCACCCTTTAACGGGCTTTCGAGCTGCTGGGTGGGCGGGAGCTGGGACATAGGGCCGAGAGCTCACCCCGGCCACGGTGGGGCTCGAACAGCCGAAGCTGTTCGACCAGATGTTAAAGCAGGCTTCACTTACCGCCTGCGCCACTGCTCCCTGCTCCCTGTATATCCATCTATTGTTATAAATTAAATTGCAAATATATAGCTTAATCTCAATAGTTAGCATAATGCATTAGGGTCTACTTATGCTAGAGTGGATCCCATTTTTCCTGCAATTTCTGCAGCTGGAAAACAATGGTACATAATGCCACTAAAATATCAATTTGATACATTTTCACATGTTAAATCCACGCCTAAAAACTGGGAATAAATCTTGTGGAAGGCTTGGATTGATATGGGGATTTTGACACTGGACCAGCTGATAAACTCTGATGATCAGTTTTATCATTTTCTCAGCTGGGGTCTAGATATGACTTGTCAGCTTCTGTTGATATTTACAATTGCAGTATCTATTGGTATCTAAATGTGGCTCTGTGGCATTAAGTGTCTCAGAGTCCCTTCCTGAAAACTCTAATTGAATTAATCCTACATTTGTCTATAAATCCTACATATGTCTATAAATATTTGATATTGGTTAACAAATATGATATGCAGAGTCTCTGAAAAGAATGGAATAAGGAGCTAGATCATCTGATTTTGCCAAAGCAATGGGATATGGCCTTAAAGTTTATAACTGCTCTGTTTGTGGATCTTATACTGTGATTGTGACTTATTCAGCAACAAAAAACATTTAGGATATACTAGACATCACAGTAACTTTAGCAAAGGATTGAGTAAAGTATCTAACTGCTGGTATTGTAACTCACAGGACCCATTCCTTAAATATATGCTTTGGGCATGTCCAGTCATTTTGTTTTTCTCAGAAGAAGTTATTACTTGTATCATTTTTTTATTAGAATGTTCATTGATTTATGAAGATATATATGTACTTTTAAACTGTCTGACCATCTCTTGAAGGCTAACCAATAGTCCATGAAAATGGACCTTCCATGCCCTTATTACAGCTAAAAGGCTCATATTACAACCCTGGAAAGATAAATGTGTATCTTAGGTAAAATCAATGGATTGACAACCTTAGAACTCTATCAATATTTGAATGCATGGCATGTAGATGACAATAACATATGGATTTATTTTTAGATATTTGGAAACCTTTTATAGAAATGTGTAGATCTACCACCACGGTTATACTTTTGTCTCTATTTTACATATACCTTTTCTCAGGGCTTTTTTTGTAGAAAAAAACAGCAGGAACTCATTAGCACAATAGGCCATACCCAACAGCAGAAATCCATTAGCATAATAGGCCACACCCCTGATAGCACAGCTCATTAGCATATTAGGCCACACCCCCATGCCTTCCCTTGGCTCGCCTGGGCAAGTCCCCCCTTGAAGGGAAGGGAAGGCAGTTTAAACTGCCTTCCCTTGGCTTGCCTGGGCACCCGCAACCTGGTCCTTGGACAGGCCCCACAGGGAAGGCACGGGGAGGCATTTAAATTCCTCCCCGATCCTTCCAGGGGGCCCCCTGGCCCGCCCGCCTTGGAGTCACCCGGGGGGGGGGCAGTCTCCAGGCCTTCCCTCTGTAGCCACGCATGCAGAGGTTTTGGCTGTAGTGGGTGTGGCCAACTCTGAAGCCAGCAGGAACTTTGTTCCTGTGCGTTCCTGCCCCAAAATAGCCCTGCCTTTTCTCTTCTCTTCTTTTTTAAAAATTCTACTTAGTTGCTGGAGATTGATGCCCCCCCATGTTGTTCTTTTTTTCTGTGTGCGTTTTTTGAAAGAAATAAATTAAAAAATTAATCAAATTGCAAATATTTAGCATATTCTCAGTTTTTCTGTCATCAGCTTGCAGCCGACTTGTAGCAACGCCAGAGGGTTTTCAAGGCAAGAGACTTTTCGTAGGTGGCCATTGCCTGCCTCTGCGTAGCAGTCCTAGACCTTCTAGGTGGTCTCCTATCCGAGTACTAATCAGGGATGACCTTTCTTAGCCTCTGAATACACTCATGAATAGACACAAAGCTGCCTTGTACTGAATCAGACAAATGTCAGTATTGTCTACTCAGATTGGCAGCAGCTCTCCAGGGTCTCAGGCTGAGGTCTTTCACATCACCTACTGTCTAATCCTTTTAACTGCAGATGCTGAGGAGCCACTGAGCCACAGCCCCTCCCCTACAGCCTCACCCTCCTACAAAGGTCCTCAGCACCACCAAGGAAGGAAGCAGAGCACATTCTGCTTGGCTCCTGGATGCAGCCATGCAAGCACAGATTTACTAAGTCCTATTTATTGCTCATTCTGCTGTGGCTTATGAAGCCAGTAAATAAACACATATCAGTAAATAAATCAAACCTCCGCACTCAGGGACATTGTTATTTGAATAAAAGTACATCCTAAGAAGGCTACAATAAAGCAATGAGAAATTCACTGAGTTTTCCTTCACATTGTAACAGCGCATTTCTAAATTGAGTTACACCCTTTTAAGCCTGTTGAAGTCAGTAGGTTTAGGAGGTTGGAACTCTGTTTAGAATTGCAGCGATAGCCATCCACAGCCTGGCCTAAAGTGATTTTCACAATATGTCTTCATTGGTGCACAATGAGACATCTGTTAGAAAGAAAACTTGTCATGTTGTTTTCTGTCCAACTTGCCAAGGATAACTTTTCTGCTAGTTACATCTGTTTCTTTTACTTCAGCTGAATATATGTTTCAGATGATTATTTTTAACTTACTATGGAAATAATGCATTTAATTCAAAAGCCTCCGACAACATTTAATTGTTGTTTATTCTATTCTATAGGGATGGTTTGGACCTTTTATAAGAAACGTTTGACTTGGAAAAATCCACTCTGATCCAGTAACTCACCATGGGTGAGCTGTGGTGCTTCTCCACAAGCCAGCGGAGTTCCCTTCACTTCAGCATGCATTCACTGATATGTGTTTAGTAGCTTCTCGGCTACTAAAATTAATGGGCAATTGGTATGCCTGGCAGGTGTGAGTTTGTATCAGAAAGCGCATAGGAGGGGGGATACTTTCTTCAGTGCCTGTCTCTGCACAGTGTTTGTATTTCATCTTCTTAAAACAGGAAATAAGGAGAAGACTGACAATTCTATTGTGAATCACGATATAGAATTACAATATTAACTTTCTGTATGATGTATAATTCAGATTTCATTTGGTAGTTTCCCAGTAAATTCTCTCCCTAACTTGTTCTCTTTGGTGCCCGACAAAGTGTTTCATTGCAATAACTATCAAGGTGTGTCTGAAGCTTTTCCCTTGGAGCAATAATGATGTTGTCAAGTTTTTCAAGTGAGACCTGCCCAGACGTTTGGGTGGGGAAGCACACTCTGTTATACAGCATCTTCTGTGCTTCCTACCGAGGAAGTCAGAGGTAATATCTAATGCTTGAGTTAAAGAACATCTACGGAGTATCTTTTGACAGCCACTGCCCGTAAGGGGCGAAGGATACCACTGGAGTGTTGTAGCCCCTGCCTTGGACTTAATAGATCTCAGATGCAATGGATTGGTTTCCTTGTAGGACTGGTGCTGTGCTTTTCACTTTAATGGTAAGTAATGCTTTCAAACCCTATAATTCCTTTTGAGCCGAGGCTGTGGCAGCTCCATTTGACGCTCCTTTCTGCTTAAGCTGATGCTGGTGTCTCAGGCAGTTTGTAGCAATTCTTAAAAACTGTACATTGTAAGTGAATCTTCTCTCGGGTGAAGATAAGTGGAGGGAAAGGACACAAAAATGCTACCTACATTGAATGAGATTTTTGTTTGACATTTAGAAATCCCTGATATTATATCACAATCAAACTGTTTTATTGATTTACCCTGAAGTGGAAAAGCTGAATTAAATCTTGTGATCTTGCATCAGACAGAATTTCAGAATCTCTGTGGAAGAACAGGTGTGCTGCGGACAGATTGCATAGTTTGCTATTTATTTTAGGTCACCATAATTGGGGCCTGGTGCAATTAAGCAAAGAGCAGACAGTGGCTGAGATAATCAAAGCTTGAAGATGGACTTCTCCAGTCTAAGTGGCACTGAGAACCGATAGTGCATATTGACTTCTAGAAGCATGTACGGACAGAAGAATTAGTGGAGTACATCTACACTTGGCAGCTTTAAGTTACAATATTTATCTTATATAAGCAGTGAAGCTGTGTCTATGTGGTAAGCAATGGCAGTTGTGGAATGTGTATTCATGATGCTGAGAACAAATGTTGAGAGACTGTAGAAAATTATAGACCTTTGGTTTTGCATCATGGCCCATTTCCACATTTAATTTCATTTTTCATTGTTTATGTTGCTTTTTCTAGAATTCAGAATCATTACAAGCTCTTAACATAAAATCCTTTACAATGGCTTCTTTTATATGACTTCTTCATACCTCATCTAAATGTGAGCGCATTTTGCTTTTAACTCTTGGCTAGTAGCAATATCTCAAGATGTTCTGAGATGATGCCTCAGAATGCAACCCCACAACTTGTGGCTTAAAGAAATCAAGCAAAGCAAGCTAAACTATTCCACATTCAATGAAGTAGAACTAATATACAGAGGCAGCTGCTGTGTGAATAATTACTCTTAGCAAACAGAAAAGCCACAAATTGGCTGAATACCAGTATGTTTGGTATGACATTTAGGTCTCTTCAAATCTGAAATATTGCTTGCTATTACAAATAACATCAGGCCATTTATGCAACATTATAGAAACACAGAATCACAGGATCATAGAATCACAGAGTTGGAAGGGGCCATACAGGCCATCTAGTCCAACCCCCTGCTCAATGCAGGGTCAGTCTAGAGCATCTCTGACAAGTGTTTGTCCAGCTGCCATTATCATTAGTGCTATATACAAGACATACTTTCATGGAGAGAGGGATGGGATTGCACCTGCAGGCCCTGCCCACAAACCTCACCTAAAGACCTCGATGGAGCCTGCATGCACGTAATGTGTACATGTAAGGCCCCTGCCCTTTTCCGGTTTCTGATCATGCGGAGAGAGCTTACATATGTACAGTTTGTACATATGAGGGCTCTAGTCACATTTTTGGCTGAATGCAAGAGGAGAAGTCTAGAGGTGCAAAATTCCAGGGCCATGAGTCACACAAGGTATACTGGGGGGTAGTAGCAGCCAATCTGTTCTAACATAGTACCTTGTGTGTGCCCTTCTGAATGTCAAAGAGGGACTCAGAGGGAATCTTAATCGGGGGCCAGTGGTGGCTCTCAGTAGCCTTAAATGCATAAAAGTTGGCAGAGGGGACAGAGAACAGAATTCCAGTTGCCCCCTCCCATACACACACACACACAAACACACATGTGCATGCATCCATCCAAAACACGAAACATATCTGTACTATAGAAAACTTCAGAATAGTATATTAACATCCATTTATTCTGGTTAAACATTAAGTAAAAAGTTGTATTGCGCTGTTTGAGGAGCTTCTTTCTTTTAGTACATGAGGCAGTCCCATTTTTAACTATGTCTTAAGGAAGCAGTGTGTCAGATATACAGGCCTGGATTTAAAGAACCATGCTACGTGTTCCATTGCCTGAGACAAGTTAGGGATTCCATTTTCTATATGCAGTCCTCTTCCAAAAATATTTGTAATCTATGTAAGGGGGATCTATGTTCAAAGGGGAAAAGTCAGTAATCCAGTGGGAATGTGCAATTCCTTGGATGGATCTAAAACAGCTGCTCAGATCCTAGGCACAGAAGAGAGAGGCAACACGGTGTAGTAGTTAGCGTGTTGGATTAGGACCTGGGAGAACCTGATATGAATACCTGCTCTTTCTTGGAAGCTCACTGGGTGATCTTGGGCCCATGACAATTTCTCAGCCTAACCTACCTCACAAGGTTGTTGTTGTGAGGATAAGGTGGAGGAGGGGAGAACGACACCATGAGTCCCCACGAAGGAGGGGAGTGGTGTATAATTAAACAAAATATAAGTATCACACATGGTTCTCATGTGTGAAACACATATCTTCTTAGTGTTATGGGATATCCTGCCACAAATTCAAACATGCTAGAATGTAATAGTAGTAATAGTAATATACTTTATTGTCATTGTACATAGTACAACGAAATTAAGACGCAATCATTTCAGTGATCTACAAAAATATCCATACACTCATGCAACCATTCACAACTATCTCATAACTCCCCTAGGGTTCACATAGCAACTTAAAACCACTAATGTCACCCAAATTCCAATATCATACACAATTTAAGACAGTAATAGCTCTCGAATAAAAACTATTTTTTAATCTGTTTGTCCTTGTTTTAATTGTCCTATATCTTCTACCCGAAGGCAGCAGTTCAAACAGAGAATGTCCAGGGTGTGACAAATCCTGCAGAATGTTCTTTGCTTTTTTCAAACTAGAATGTGTGTGGGGGGGGGTGTTGTTTTATCAAGGTTGATATTTGAACGATTGGTAATCTTCTGGTCAATATACCACAGCCAAGCAAATTAACTAAAAAATTCTGTCTCCATGGGAGTTTATTCAGAGCCAGCAGCTTTATTTGAGGTGAATGATACTGTCTGTTTGTGAGGGAGGCAGTCCACCTGGCTTTATTGCTCAACACCTGCCTGATCCAAAAATACTCATTGCAAGAAATTGAATTACATGTTTGAGCTGTGCTTGTGATACATGTACTGGCTTGCTTTATGAAAGCAGTTTGTTTTATCCAGCATAACTTTCTTGTACCACCTGCCTTATTATAATCCCAATTTTGCTGAAACATGTTTGCAGCTTCAATGCAGTGCAGTCCTATGCAGAGTTACTCAAGTTTAAACCAATTGATTTCAACAGGCCTGAATTGGAATAACTGCATGGGAGGGTGTGTGTGTGTGCAATCCCATCATCTTTCATCACTTTTTCTTCTGTTTGTTCCAAATGTTCCAAAGTCAGGATATAAATCTTTAAAATAAATAAACAATCCTTTCCAGGATGACGCATTTTCCAAAACATTGTGATCAGAGGAAGACCTTTGAAAACCAAATGGATGCTTTTCCAGGCTGGATTGCAATATATATTTAGTGACTGGGTCCGTTTAAGAGGCTGGTCACAATTGTGAGGCACAAAATGCCTCACTGCTGCAAACCTTTCCAATGTGGATTGAGATCTGCCATGCAAATTACAATCTGGGCTCATGAGCAGTCAGCCAATTTACCACATGTATAAGTTATCAGGTAAAATGACTGCAGAAGACTTAAAGGGCATTTCAGTTCACTGCAGCCCAAGAAAACTACAACATACAGAAGGCACAAATTGATCTTGAATAAGAATATCTTAGGCCAAGTTCAGACTGGCAGTTTGGCCCAATATAGGCACGTTTCACAAACGGATTACAGGGGCTGTTCACACGTCTGTCTGGCGTTCCCCACCCGTACTCAACCCGTCTCGTAATGCTTCCCTCCTGAGTTTAAAAGATACCAGGTGAAAGTGGTATCAAACCCTGGAAAGCGCAATTATCCCGTGTCCATCCCACACCAACAAAGTGTGAATGCCAAAAGCCGCATTTTTTCTTGTGCGCATATCTCCAGATTACCAAAAAGAAAGCTGCGCCTTACAGCCGTACCTCCGTCTGGGGTGGGCCAACAGCATGAACGCTCCCTTGCACCTCCTCCCCGGTATGCTCCCGTATCAGTCAGTGCAGTGTGACCAGGAAAACCCAGAACAGTTTGTTCCAGGTCTTTTTTGTCACGACTCCCTCCCATTTCAAACTGCCAGTCTGAACTCAGCCTTAATTTTCCCAAGATGAATATGGTTAGCACCCATTAGCCCAAAGGGAAGCGGCAAGTTTTCAGAGTCATTAGAAACCAGTCTTGCCTCATTTAAAGCCCAGCTCTGATTGAGTAGTTTGAAATAAACTTATTTTTCAAGAGAACTTATTTTTCAGGATGCAGGATTTGGCCCATATTTGGCCCATAAAGCGCAATACACTGACAATGAATGAATAGAAGCAAATTCCAAGTTGAGTTTCCTCATGAGAACCAATAGCCCCATATAGAGATAATAAAGAGGCCCCGATGCATTTCTGCTTATGTGCCAACTAGATGTGCACAGCTGATGATTGTGGAGGAGGATAAACATCCCCAACCACATCAAAAGATGTATCTAGCAGGTTGAGTGGGATTCCAATGAACACCATGGTTCAAAAGGAAGATGTATATTTGCATATTCTATGACATATCCAGATATATCCAGATATTCTATCCTCTATATGTGCAGAAGCCTGTTTGCACATGTGTACCACCAATACCAGAGTGAGAGCATATAAACATCAAGTTCAAGCTTCACAAAATATAAAAATTTAAATGAATTTTATGTAACTGTAGAACAAAACTTTTGTTTAAACAATGTTCTTTTTTTAAAAGAGCAGAATAGTTCTTGCCTAAAATTACTTGAGTGTAGGTTTCTCGATACTTAGGCCCCAATCATAAACTCATTTAGAGACAAACATGTTCATTGAGTTGTGGTTGATTTCAGTGGGAATCCTAGCCATATAATAGTATAGAGGTTTGGAGACGCCATCGAGCAGGATTTTGACAACAGAGTTAC